GTTGTTTCGAATATTTTCCTTCCTAGCACTTGATGTTTTATTGTATATTTGTGTACTATAATTATTAAGTTAATATAAATGTCTTGGACATTAAAATGGTATAAAATACCGACAGGTTGTTAGGTAAGACACATATGCAACAGTTAGGTATCTTTATTTCGAAATAAAGATACCTAACTGTTGCATATGTGTCTTACCTATAAATGTCTTGATGGCCAGTGTTGTACACCGGAGCTGAGCTCTACATATTTCATAAATTTTGATTCGTGTTCCTAAGCCACTGAAGAATCTCTTGATTTGTTAATTTGTAAACGTTACCCCTCGTTACTCGTACAAGATAAATCTCCTAATAATTAAAATGATTTAGTATGTATTAACTCGTAATTACATTTGAGTATCACCAGTGACTGATTGTTCTTCACATTGTCACTAATTACTTCTGTTGTGTGATTTTGTTTAGATTAAATTCCTTCAAAATTTGTTCGTAGTTCATATAGATGTGCAACTGTTGTTACTGTTGGAAGTCTGACTCAGAGAGAACTTTGTCTCATTATCAGACTGTCGACTACACGACCACACTACCAGAGTTACTTTAATTTCTGATGTACGGATTAAAAATAAATATATACATAATGAGGTATCCAGGGCCGCCAAGTGTGTGTATTTTCTTAGCGGCTGCAAATCAATAGAAATACATTCCTTAGGATAGTGTGTTGTGGGCCGTGAATGTGTTCTTGATCTCCCTCGCTCTCCTGGCACCAAAATAGTGTGCAAGTCGTAATCTGCTTCAGATCCCAGTCTCTCACAATACGTCCCTCTTTGGAAGACATTGATCCAGGGGGCGGAGCGCCCCGATTTGTCTTCACCCTCCAGCCTCTTAACAAAATTTCCAATCAGGCACAGACAAACAAGTGAGGAGGAATTGCTTTTTCAAGTGCGGCCATTAAGGTCATTGCGCGCTCTCCTGCCTCCAGTCTGGCAACACAAGTTTCCTCTCACTTCATTCTGGTAGATTTGTTTCATAGCCACAACCGATGACACAGACAGAAACAGACGGAGAGACAGACGTACCCCCGCTCATTCACAGCCTACTTTTCCCCTCACAGCCCACTCTCCCCTCAGCCCACTCTCCCCTCACAGCCCAATTTAGAGTGTACGAGCTTATCACATAACTCTGGCCCTTCATATCCATGATTCCCAAAATTGTTCCCATTCCAGATTCCAGGGAGCGACCTTCCCAAACGTGATGCTGTGGATTATTGTTAGGCGATTTCTGCTAGCACTGACCTCTTTCTTCCTTAGCCGAGTTTCTTAACACCTCGTTGATATTGTCTCCAGTCAACATTCTTTTTCTTTCAGAGACAGTATAAGAAATTTTGCTTGTGTTAAGACAGTTGTTAAAAAGCCTAAAGACAATTTTTTATGGCAAGTGAATATTAGTGAACATTCAGTGACTCAGAGACTTATCCTCAGTCTGAAACATTATATGACTTATCTTCAGTATATATTCTATTTTTCCTGTGTTTATCTCTGATTATTGCTATACTATACAAGTATTGCACCACTAACAATATAGTTGATATTTTGGTAGTGAAAATTGAGTCAGTCTGGCTGTTTTGCTTGTATATAAACCACCAGATACAACTTCTTGAAAACATTCTGTTGCTTGGTTATTTTAGTTAGACATCTGAGATGAAAGAATGTTAGAAACAGCAGAGGAAATCCCAGGAGGCAGCTCGGAAGAACATTCTCACACAAAGAGCTGTTAAAACTGGTAAATTCGCCATAATCCAGCAGGTAGTGGAATTAACCAGACTAGAAAATATCCTTGAGTTTTACATTCACAGATTGAGGATCTGGTACAGAACATAACGGTGTCTAATACAGCAAACTGTATGGAGTTCAGACTGTATAAACACTGGTCTTGAACAGCAAAATAGTCATGAGGATGTATTCAACAAATTCAACTTCAGTAATAAATACATTAACTGGGGTTAAATCATTACATTACTATAATATGCTGGGACGATGGTATGACTGGTTAACATGAATTTAACCAGTGTCTGGAGAGGATGAGCTCAATACTAGAAGTGTGCTTCACATTCTTACTGTTAAGAAAATAAAATGTTGCAAGTTAGAGAAAGTCGCTCCCTGTACAGGCGAAGACGAAGAGTTACTGAACTGCCCGAAGAACTCACTTTCTCAAAAAGCGAAAAATAGATACTGTTTAAAGTACTGGAAAACATCGAGAGAAAACTGATAGCGCCATACAGAGTGACAGACATTAAACTCACGTATGTAGCTTCACTCTACCAAGATAACACATTTATTGCAGAAAAAGTTGAGCCGATCACATAGACATGTATCATCAAACCTTTGAGAGTGTGTTTTAGAAGGTTTAAAAATCAAGATTGACAATCACTACAATTGCACAACCCAGGGCAACGTGAGTTTAAAACAGGTCACACTTGCCCATCGCAATTGCAAGGCCATAACATGGTCTGGGATGCGGCTGCTGCTGCCGTTGGTGCTGCGGTTGGTATTTCTCTCTCCTTTTCCCTACTAATTCCCTTCTTCCCCTCTCCTCTCTATTCACCTATGCCTCCCTCTCCCTCCTCCATTTGTTTCTTTCTCTCTGTGCCTCTTCCTCCCATTTCTCTTTCCTTTCCTCTCTCCTTCCCTCCCTCCCTCCCTCCTCCGTGGCCTCATAAGCCTGGCCAACATTGCACATTCACAGCTCGTCTTGTGGTCGCCTGTGTCGATCTTCACTATAAACACAAGACCATCTCGGAATATCTTGGTTCAAGTAAGATATTGTGTAGTGTGGTGAAGTTTGTGGTGGTGAAGTTTGTGGTGGTGAAGTTTGTGGTGGTGAAGTTTGTGGTGGTGAAGTTTGTGGTGGTGAAGTTTGTGGTGGTGAAGTTTGTGGTGGTGAAGTTTGTGGTGGTGAAGTTTGTGGTGGTGAAGTTTGTGGTGGTGAAGTTTGTGGTGGTGAAGTTTGTGGTGGTGAAGTTTGTGGTGGTGAAGTTTGTGGTGGTGAAGTTTGTGGTGGTGAAGTTTGTGGTGGTGAAGTTTGTGGTGGTGAAGTTTGTGGTGTGAAGTTTGTGGTGGTGAAGTTTGTGGTGGTGAAGTTTGTGGTGGTGAAGTTTGTGGTGGTGAAGTTTGTGGTGGTGAAGTTTGTGGTGGTGAAGTTTGTGGTGGTGAAGTTTGTGGTGGTGAAGTTTGTGGTGGTGAAGTTTGTGGTGGTGAAGTTTGTGGTGGTGAAGTTTGTGGTGGTGAAGTTTGTGGTGGTGAAGTTTGTGGTGGTGAAGTTTGTGGTGGTGAAGTTTGTGGTGGTGAAGTTTGTGGTGGTGAAGTTTGTGGTGGTGAAGTTTGTGGTGGTGAAGTTTGTGGTGGTGAAGGTTGGGTGGTGAAGGTTGTGGTGGTGACGGTTGTAGTGGTGAAGGTTGTGGTGGTGAAGGTTGTGGTGGTGATGGTGGATCATTTAGGGAAAGGAGCGAGGAAGGTTTTATCTTAGATTAGCAAGTTGTCACACGGTACCAACCGCAGACTGCTAACAACAACAACCTTGCTGCCAGAGTAGGTGAAGCCCGGAAACCAGCTGCGTGTTTATATACATTATATATATATATATACATTATATATATATATATATATATATATATATATATATATATATATTATATATATATATATATATATATATATATATTTATAAAATCAGTGTTAGGTTAATATGTATAAAGGAAGGAAACACCAATGTTCAACTATATACATAAACAGGTCGTGGGTATTGCAGGATTATGTTAAGACGGAACATTGTCGCCTTGCAGAAAATTAGTTTCACTACCTCCCAGAAATACTTAAAACTTCACCACAGAAATTAGAACAATGCAAGATGCTTTAATTTTCACGTTCACGGTAGCAACGGCCACAGACGAGGTCAACAGGAAAATCATTCAACTCTCACCGTTTTTGTTTAGATACGAAGATGAGAGATCAGAGCTCAGGGAGATGTGCCAAGTCATGGTAGCTGCGGCTCGTAGAGAAATGGTGGTGTACCAGGTTGCCTGTAGGGATACCGGGAACATTTTAATGTTTTTTTTTTTCTAGTTATAATATTGAGGTTATCAGTCCTTCACCCTTTGATAGGTGGTAAAGTTCTCCAGCCGTGATGGGAGGTCGTCAGTACCTTACCTTTGATGGATGGTGATCGGTCTCTGAGCCTTGGTAGGAAGTCGTCAATTCGTGTTTGGTTGTTTTCGTGATATTTATATTTTTGTTTACCTTGAGTGTTCTGAGAGCTGTTTTCTTTTGTTGTGAAGAATATTGAGTGATCTACAAGGTGAACACACTCTTCAAACATCATGACTTTCTTACCTGTTACTACCTCACCACAGCACCATAACAAAACACAGCTACCACAACTGCTTCACCTAGCACCAAAACCAGAGGGAGAACTAACCCTTTCCCCAGCCCCTCAACCACAACCTGACTATAAAGCAAATCTCCACGTACCATTAATATGACGATGATTAGCATTATTAATAATAATTTGCTTGTTCTTTCTTGCCCAACTTGATATCTCAATTATCACTAGTTTTCGTCTTGTTTGGTTCCCTTTAAAGCTCTGACACTCGGTGTCATCCATGCTGCTTGTGCCTGCAGCGTGTTTATCAGTCTTCGGTATGTGGCACCGTGTCAGAAGCCTTCAGATAGTTTATGAATATGAAGACAACCCCCTCTCTCTCTCCTAACATTTATGAACCTCTAGAACTCTTAATAAGTTGTCTATAATAGATTGTATTTTTGACTCCTTGTTATCTGGATGTTCAGCCAATCTTCTTATAATTAATTAATTAATTTTGTCCAGGTGTGACAGATACTGGCCTGTAATATACGAATATTGGTACCAATGTGCACATGTCATCGCACACGTTCACATCCATGTATAATATCCCGGCTACACGTTCACTCCAGTACCTTTCTTTTTGTTTCAGCTGCCTCTTCCCGTCACTGCCGCTCTCCCGTGTGCCTCCGTCAGCAGAAGATGGTGCTCCTCCTCCTCCTCCACCTCCTCCGGCGACGTCTCCACGCAAGGTAACTCATCTCAGCACAAGTGTATGCTTAGATCGAGGTTCGAATTGATATCTTCTTGAGACTTCCAGTACTAGAAGATCTAGGAACTTCAAGCATGAGTGTATGTTTAGATCAGTGTGTGACCCCGAGTCTTCTAGTTGAAAGAAAACGCCCAGCGGAAGCAGAATGCTCGTGAAGGATGAGAACAGAAAAGAGAAGGGAGAAAAATGGTAGGTCGGTGTTATGTTGAGGCATCTGTGGAAATAGACACTGAGCGAAACGTTTTGATAAAAAAAAAATTAGTGTGTGTGTTTTTGGTCTGACAAGCGTAATATTGCTGCTTGTTGTAAAATGTGACACCAACAGTTAAGTCTACTCTGACAGAACAAGTATAGACGACGTTTCGCTCTTCTTAGACCGAAACTTTTCCCAACATACTATAATCATCCCTGTTATTTTCTTTTTAAAACTTTTAAGATATGTCAACTGTTGAAATGCAGTTATGATACTTGAATGATACGCTTGGAATTTCTCTATTCTTTCAGAGTGGTTGTTTTGCATTATATATATATATATATATATATATATATATATATATATATATATATATATATACATATATTATAAAGATCTTTTATTTCTGCAACTCGACTGAGGACAACTTAAGTTGTAAGAGTTGTGTTGGTAATCATTTAGAATCGCCTGAGTGATGTTTCTAGATCAAGTGGGGATGTTTTCGACTCACAAATGAATGACAAGAGGTCGATCTCGGTGGAAACGTTGGGGTTGTTTCCTTACACCACTTGTCCCTTCTTCACCAAGCAGTAAATTGGTACCCGAGTGTTAGTCGACTGTTGTGAGTCGCATCCCGGGATTGCATATTAAAGGAATCCAATAGAAGTAAGCCACACTGCTTGGCTTGATTGGGTCATCCTGGGTTACTAACCTCTTCGGGGTAGTAATCCAATAGTGCTATTATGTACAGACACAAGTTGGCCTATCATGGCGTGAGCAGCACCACCATCGTACTTACACATTGGAAAACTTGTGCTGAAACTACTTAAATTAGAGGTTCGCAACGAGACTAGTCCCAGGATTTATGGGTATGACTTATGGTTAGTGTTGCATATACACAGTCGATGTGTGTTGGTGATACATCACAAGGGTATGATTGATGCCTCCACCTTGTATAGTCATTCACAATGAGTGAGTATATCATTATTTGTAGCAGTTCAGTGTAATATGGTGTTTTGAGGATGCATAAGTGATACTCTATTTTCTCAACAAACTTAATTTACAAACTACGCTTTATAAAGCAGTAAATTTTCAAAGTTTTTCACAATAAAACGTTACTTGTAAATTGTGAGATTCTGCACAAAGTGACTTTACTATATCTGTAAACAAGTCTTATACTGTTAACCCAGAGAAATATTAACCAGTATATATAAGCTAATCTTAAACTGTTGTGTAGACAGGGCTTTCCACTCTGTTAAAAATGTTAACAATTATAACTATATGCTGTATTCTACGAAAATACAGGTTTTCATTTCCACTTACTTTTCATTTTGAATTGTTCTTTCTGGGGCAACTGGTGACGGAAGTTGTGTGCGCCGCCAGCAGCAACAATCTGGTTGGCCAGGCAAGCACCAGCCTGCCCCAGGGCCGGGCTATATGAAAGTAGGAAAACTCCCGTAACTCGTCAAAAGTTTATCAGAGGTAAAAAGATGGTTTATGAAGTTGTTACATTATCTTTTTTATGAATGGTTTAAAAAACCGACAAGCTGAAAAAGGAGACCTGTGCAACATTTGGGTATCTTGATTCTTGGGTATCTGTGTTGAGGGTAAAGATACCCAAATGTTGGAGTAAGTCTTTCTAATCAACATTACTGAGGCACACGGTATTAATGGTGATGTTTCTTTAGGAAGACTAGGTCAAAGCTCACGTGCATTTCCCTGTATACTTGTATATCAGTACAGTGTATATACAGAGCTACAAGTCTGTGTATATACGCTGAGTGTTTGCTTTAAGCCCTGTTAATTTAAGCTTCTTGACCCTATGTAGTCTCTGGGAGCCGTCTCCTACACACTGGTCCGTTGGTTCAGTCCGGTCACGATGGGAACGTGAGCACGTTCCTTAACTGCTGTTCTTGTTCACTTACCAGTAGTACCTAAACGTTGTGATGTGTGGTCGCATCTGGGGACAAGAGGCAGCCTCAGTCAAAATATGAGTCTTCGTGTTTATGCGTATCCTGTGTGGCTAACCTTCCCGGTTAAAAATCCAACACAAACTTAGCAGCTAACCTACATTACACACAGGAAAGATTTTCATTTCATTTTCCCTCGTAGTGAAATGCCGCCAAACGTTTTCTTTAGTTCAGTTTGTTACTGTAAAAGAAAATGATCATATTGTGATTGTTAGCCGGGCTTGATGGGACTCTTCAGTAAACATAGTTCTTGTTCTTAAAATTGTGAACTGTTTAAGATTAAGGTGTTTGTTTTGACATGATACATGGTTGTACAGAGGAATATAATAGTTGGGTGTACATGCCAAAAGCACCTTTGTATGCAGAGCATTTCGGGCAAATTTAAAGATTAACTGTTGTATAGATCATATTCTAGGATGTAATGAATTCTCTAGACTTTATTTAAAATAACTTCATTCTCATTCTCTCTCTCTCTCTCTCTCTCTCTCTCTCTCTCTCTCTCTCTCTCTCTCTTCTTCTTTTTTTCGAAGCATCCACTTGGAGAGGAGTGGGTTCATAGACGACAGCCAGCATGGTTTTAGACATGGTAAATCCTGTCTCACAAATCTGCTAGTTCTGTGACAAGGTAACGAAAATTAGGAGAGCGAGGTTGTACGATGCACTTCCACTGAAGATACCGGGACACAGGTAGAGGAATAATGGAAAGCATAATGCATCAAGGAGTACTTAAGGGAAGGAAACCGTGCGTTGTCGTTCAGGAAGAGGTGTTGATAAATTAGACACATGTGCAACTCTTGGGTATCTTTATTGAGGAAACGTTTCGCCACACAGTGGCTTCATCAGTCCATACAAAGGAGAATCTTGAAGAATAGGAGGAGAATGAGGTAATCAGTCCCTCAACCTTGAGTCGATGTGGTCAGTCCATCAATCTTGAATAGAATGATTCTATTCAAGATTGATGGACTGACCACATCGACTCAAGGTTGAGGGACTGATTACCTCATTCTCCTCCTATTCTTCAAGATTCCCTTTGTATGGACTGATGAAGCCACTGTGTGGCGAAACGTTTCCTCAATAAAGATACCCAAGAGTTGCACATGTGTCTAATTTATCAACATGTCGGTTCTCTGAACCATTCATCTACAGGAAGAGGTGTTGGAATGGGCAGGTGCGTTAAGTGGGGCTCCAGAACTGTTTTGTATACGCAAATGACATGACAGAGGAAAGACTACAGACGGATCTAAATAAGCTTTATATCGTAATAGATTTACAATACATTGTATTAAAAATTATCTTCATTACACTATATCAAATTGCAGTACACTAATTTACAGTACAATAAATAGTTTTACCTGGTGATAAACTCCCTGACCCACGTCTGCATATTAGTGAGACGAGTTATTTGAGAAAGACCTGCCAAGGATGGGTTTTCAAGACAGAGGCTCATCACCACAAACTACTGCTGTACGTTTTCCACCGTCTGCAATACAGTGATAAAGTCTGGGGACTGATCACGTCAGACTACTTCATGTCTTTCACAGCCTTCGTGAATTATTATTTCCAGTAATTTTCTGTTTTGGACTGTTAAAACCACTGGTTGTTGACACGTCTCCACAGTAAAGATAACCAGGTGTTGTACACGTCTTGTACATCTGTCTTGGGCCAGTAAGGTTATTGAAATACATGTACACAAATACAGTTACACAAATTATCATAGTGAAATCTCAAGTATTTTCATGATTTCTCACAGGTCCTTGATAATGTGAGAAGTCACGAAAGCCCTTGGAATTTCACTATTTTTTTACAGCGGTTGTTTTGCATATTGTGATATCACTTGTTTACTGTGTAAATTTCCTAGGATACCCCCCCCCTTCCCTTTTCAAAAAATAAAAATAGTGACATTCATTGGGGCCCTTGTAGGTCTGCTGCAGCGTTCCTCCACTCTCATGTTTCTAAAGTCCCTGCGAAAAATGCTAAAAATATCCCAGAGGCCAAATTTCCGAGGTGCTCTGCAGACGCGACGCAACGCGACGGGTCCGAAAAATGTAGCCCTGATGGTAAAGTGCATTTTAAAAGCCGTCTTCCTCCCGAGGGAAGTTGGTCATGCAGACCAAGGATGTGGAGTCTACTCCAGCTCTGAGGAAGGAAGAGAAATGTAATTTTTTTTTTTATGGATATTAGACCCCGCTCACCGGCGGTCCTTGACGCCGGTGAGCAAGGAAATTAACGTGATCTGACCCTTGGATCGATGCTCACTGCATCCCATTACCCGAGGCGCTGTATGGCCCCCACGGGTTTAGCGTATTCCCTATGATTGTAATAATTATAATACACCAATACCCGCACATAGGAGTTGTGCCTTTTTATTTTTAATAATTAATAAAAGTAATAGGGAAATCAGGACGAAATGGCTTATGAGAGCCAGAGTGAATCAGAAAAGGGAGACCAAAGGTATGTAGTAACCTCCCTGGTGACAGCAAAGGTACTAACCGCCCTCAAGGATACCTGAAGAATGTTGTAGATGTGCGCCCCCGTCCATTATTAGCTTGTCATCTTTTGTTTTTAAAGTTCTTGTTATAACAACTAAATCCGTTAAATTTCCACTTTTGTGTGATTAGAATTAGTTGTATAATTTATTTTAGTTTTTATTTCCTCAGTTTTTCTATAACGAAATATCTGAAATTTAGCCTCGTTAAACATATTTTCTGTGGCCCAGTGGAAAGTTTGGTTGATATCCGCCTGGAAATTCTGTTAACTTGGATACCACACTTATAAATTCTTGTTTCGTTTACAGATATACAAAGATTTATAGCCCTGTCTGTGTCGGATATGAAGATGAAGAAAATGGTAGAGGCTAATACTGTACCTTGGAAAACTAAGATTTTTACAGTGGCAACATCTGACTTTGTTTGCTAGTATTCTTTGAGTCCTAATTGTTAGGTGAAAAAAATCCATCTGCTCACTTTTCCAGTTACTAGTTTTGCAGGCATTTGATGTACTCTCACACCATGATTGCACTTGCAAAGTGCTTTTGCAAACTCAGGATTTTGTATATGTGAAGTATTTTGGATTCCTCTAAATTTATTTACTGTCTTTGGCTGTTCCTGTTTTCCCTACTGGAATCAGAGGAACGACGCCTCTTGGTGGAACAAGGGTATACACGTTTTAGTAATCCTGGGAGCGTTAAACTTATCTTCAAACAGTTGAAGAGTTGTTGAGAACACAGCGTGCTGATTCCTCTCCCTCTTGCCTTTCTCTTGACTTCCTCTCCCCCTCTTGCCTTCCTCTTGACTTCCTCTCTCCCTCTTGCCTTCCTCTTGACTTCCTCTCCCCCTCTTGCCTTCCTCTTGACTTCCTCTCCCCCTCTTGCCTTCCTCTCGTCTCTTCTTCCTGCCTCTCTCTCTCCTTTACTTTCCTACTTACTGGCTCACCTCTGTTTCTCCGGAACGGCAGCTTGGATTACTTTCATCAGATATCAAACAAATATTATCTCTCATGCCTACTGTCATTCCACAGTGTAAAGAATTAATCATGCTTATGACTTTAGACTGTGCAAATAGCTGATTTGACCACCAGTACCACAGCCTTCGTACTAGAAACTCAAGATGGTTAATAACCCAGGATAACTACAGAAAGCCAAGCCGTGTGGCATATTTCTATTGGAGTCCTTAGATCCTGTCTCAGGATGCCACCCACAGAAGTTGCCTAATTCCTGGGTATGTGCTTATCAATAGGGACAGCAAGTATTAGGCGACTTGCTCATGCATCCCGTCTCGCCCTGGAGTGAGCTCGGGTGCTTTGGTTGTGAGGCGAACGCTCTACATAGGTACAGGTCACGGTTCATGCATGTTATAACTCACTAACCGCGAGTTCAAACCCCACCCGTGGTATGGTTTGGAGAAGAGTTCTTCCACCATCTTGCAGGTCAGGAGATACACTGAGGGATGTTTTAGAGGTCAACGCCCCCCCCTCCCCCCGGCCCGGTCCCAGACCAGACCTCAGCGGTTTGTCAACAAAACGTGACGTCATTCGAAAAATCCTTTTTCATGGGACCTGTTAATGTATTTTGTAAATTTGAAAGAGCGTATTACGAGGGCTGAAGATTAGAGATGGTCAGCATGATGATGGTTGAGAGCTTAGTCTGAGTGATAATCTTTTCCGCTGGAGGACCAACTGTGTCGAGTCATCACCCACAAGATTACAATGACTGGTTTGCACCAATTTGTCTTGTAATTGTTTTGTGAATAGACGCAAAAACGTTGGAGAATTTGTCGACGATGAAGATATTTATTTTATGAGAGAGAGATGGATGGATAGATTGAGATTCATCCATCCATCCAGGTAATCACATAACCAAGAAAAATTAATTAAAAAGCAGTAAACAGCATCCTGATTGTCGTACTGCCGATATTAAAGAAAACACGCCAGTGTCTTAACCAAGTTTACTGGGACAACATTTCGCTCTGTGTAGAGCTTTATTTAGTCATGAGAAGACTACACAGTTGTCAGAGTTGAAGCTTCATGTGCAGCCTTTGTGCTCGCCTCAGGTTGCTTAATATTGGTGGCATCCTGGGGAGGGTGAGTAGCATACCTTAGATTCTTCTGAACTTTGAAATGAACTGAAAGTTATTTAACTTAGTAAAGCATGTTAAAATAGTGGAGAGGAAAAGATACATACATGGAGACATGAAAATTGTGAACGTAATGGAAAGGAAAGCTGGCAGGTGTTCCCGCTCGGGTAGACGAGAATTGAGAACACGTGTGTAAGGTGAATGATTGTCCAGTAGTTAAGGATGTGTGTTAAAAGAAGACTCTCCTGACATTGATCACTTGCAGACTCACGACAACGCAGTTGATCAGATTTGGAGATGTCTCTACCTGCTGCTCGTACTGCTACTTATGCTGTTGCTGCAGCAGCAACAGCGGCGTGCTGATGACATTGCCTACATTGCTGACTCAAGGGGAGTAACTCTGAACTCATCAGCTCCGCTGACGAAGTCGATAACCTTAAGGATCCATAACTTAATGTTAGTGGAACGAAAAAATATTAATCGAGCTGGGTGGAAACTTCTCTTCATGAAGAATTCTTTACTGTTAACTAAGACTCTTCCATCGAGGCTGCCAACACTAGATAATTGGCTTTTGCTGTTTTCATTGACGGTCTCGAGATTCGTTTAATATAGTCTATGAATACAAGACATTGTAGGACCTGGGCATCTTTGGTACGAATAAAAAGCATAAAGATACCGTGTTTCAAGTGTCAGTCATCAACTTGTCGGTACTGTTTACCATTAATGTTATGATTAATATATCTCAGTGGAACTTAATGGAAAATAGTATCCGTTGCCAGACTATCCTCAAACGATACTAAAACACACTGGTTAGAAACAGCCCCTCCAAGAAGTGTTGTACCAGACCTGAAGACTGGAGAACAGGCCAAGCTACGGTGATACTCCATATAGTCAAGGCTCTACATGTAGTATAATTGTTGTATGGAATGTGGTGTTTAATTTCTGGGTGACGTTAATAATCAGAAAATCATGGTAATGACTCTGTAAATCGTAATAACACGAAATCGCATTAGAAGTTTGTTCTTCAAATTTATTTAAAATTTGGAAGCTAATTTTGAGCTGAACAAGGAAACTGAATGAATGCTTTCCTCGAAGTCCTTGTAAATGATTTTCCTGTAGTGAATACCAGGTAGATCATTCCTCGCTTTTTTTTTTTAAACTGAGTACCCAGCTTGGAGTTTACCTTCGTTCTTTGTTCACAGTTCAGAGACTGGTTCTCTTCTCGTACAGCAGAGGTCAACTGCTGAGGCCATACAACTGCAAGCATCTTATTTTTACATTTACGGGGAAGCGCGAAACCCGTTGGGATCGTACAGCGCCTGGGGAATGGGAGTCAGTGAGATTTAATCAAAGGAAACTTAGGATAACTTAAATTGCTTTATCAAGATCCTTCACTAGCGTCCAGTAACTAGCCACCAGTAATGACGGAGGCGTGGGTAAGAGACATGGGGTTAACACCCGTCAAGAATGTACATTGATGCTGGTGAGGGGCTCTTGAGCCGAGGAGTTACAGCTGTCCCTCTTAACTTGAATCAAGCCTAATTAGCCCACTTCCCTCCCCTTCCCTATTCCCGAGCACTGTGTGATCTTCCAGCCACGAGTTTAGCGCTTCCCCGCGAGCACAAGAAGTGTCATAACAGGTAAAGGTTCTAAGAATAAAGACAGCAGTTAAGAAAAACGCTTTATTTATAATCAGTGTCAAGAGTGTTACACAAGATCAAAGTCTCATTGTTCATCTATAACATTTGTTCAGTTATAACATTGTCCAGGGCCCAAGACACTTGTTCGCGTAACACTGATGACCTCAGACACTCCACTGTTCATATATAACATTGATAACGACCTCAATGAGGCCAGAGATCAATTTTAGCATTGCGTAGAACTTTGTTCTACACTATTTCTCTGGGATGGGGAAAAGTTCACAGTTCAGTACTGTTAAGCACACGCCTCAGTGCATCCTTTTGTTATATTGCAACCCTTTATTGATGAACATAAATCAATCTTCTCGTATGACTTTCTACTGATATTAAGTCAATAATATGTGTGTGTGGGGGGGGGTGTTTTTTGTGGCTGAGATTAGGCTGTGATGTGAAGTGAGGGTATGTTGTGATGGTATAGGGTACGTGGTGATGGTATGGACTGGAGTGTGGTGAAAGAATGTGTAGTGAGGGTATGGGGGTGTATGGTAAGCACGGTGTATGGTGAAGGGTGGTGATGGTTTAAGTGGTGACGATGGTGAGGTTTCCATGGTGTAAGTGGTGTTAGTTTCATAGGTCGTCTAGTGAACTCATATCGCTGCTCGTGAACTATAACATCATCCTGTTAAGTGTATACAGATGTAGTTGTAAGGTTATCATACATTTAATTAATTGAATTAAACAAGATGTATATGTTTGTACAGGGTAATACAATCCATAATTTTATATTATTGAACTTAAAGTAAGGTGGCTCAAAAATAGGATGAAAAAATTTGTATAAATGGCGTGGCGACCGCAGTAAGATACTAAAGTCTTACCAAACATTTGTTATTCATTATATGTGTTTGATTTTAGTAGGTGTGGTTAGTTGACTAGGGATGGTTAAAGAACGTAAGTTAGGGTGTAGATAGGTCATTGCCTGGAGCTGAGTGAGCAAAGTTACCCAAACTAAGTTTGATGGTATTGCACTTAGTGATTGTGTGTGTGTGTGTGTGTGTGTGTGTGTGTGTGTGTGTGTGTGTGTGTGTACTCGCCTATTTGTGGTTGCAGGGGTTGAGACATCTTCACTGATCGCTACTAGGTCCTCTTTCTCCCAGCTCCATGAGCTTTATCATACCTCAACTATGTGTGGTTCCTGCCTCACTACGTCACTTGCCAGACTATTCCACTTCCTGACTACTCTGACTAAAGAAATACTTCTAACATCTCTTTGACTTGACTGGGAACTGGTGTGAAACTCATTCATGGACATTCATTCAACTAACCCACAATTAGGAGAGAGAACTTTTAAACTACGTTTCGGTCCGAAACGTAGTTTTAAAGCTTCCCAAATTACGCGTTAACAATCAGTTGTTGCAGCCACTGTTGCGACTTCATGAAGATTGATCCCTCGTGTTGAGTTGCGTACGATGTACAGCCCTCGTGCAGCGGTAAGCTCACCACCATGAGAGCCACCAATCTGTGTGAAGCTCGCATCCAGGCCGTGGGAGGAGAGTGACGGGTGAAGTTCACATCCAGGCCGCGGGAGGAGAGTGACGGGTGAAGTTCACATCCAGGCCGTGGGAGGAGAGTGACGGGTGAAGTTCACATCCAGGCCGTGGGAGGAGAGTGACGGGTGAAGTTCACATCCAGGTCGTGGGAGGAGAGTGACGGGTGAAGTTCACATCCAGGCCGTGGGAGGAGAGTGACGGGTGAAGTTCACATCCAGGCCGTGGGAGGAGAGTGACGGGTGAAGTTCACATCCAGGCCGTGGGAGGAGTGACGGGTGAAGTTCACATCCAGGCCGTGGGAGGAGAGTGACGGGTGAAGTTCACATCCAGGCCGTGGGAGGAGAGTGACGGGTGAAGTTCACATCCAGGCCGTGGGAGGAGAGTGACGGGTGAAGTTCACATCCAGGCCGTGGGAGGAGAGTGACGGGTGAAGTTCACATCCAGGCCGTGGGAGGAGAGTGACGGGTGAAGTTATAGACAATGGTGTCACTCTGGTTACGCCACTTGACACACTTACTGGAGTCCTGGTTGCCGGCACTGCTGTATGGATAAACAAACATTAGTAGCTGTGTATGTATGTGTGATGTACGTCGTGCCGAATAGGTAAAACTGATCAGTTAGCAAGAACTCGTTTAAAATTAAGTTCCTACAAATTTCTCTTATAAGAACTACGTTTAAAAGCTATTTTTTTTTCATTTGTTAATGTAAAAACTAATAAATTTTGTACCAAAAGTACTTTAGAAAACTTACCTAACCTTATTATAACAAGCTCAATTTAATTTAGCCTAATTCAACTAAATATATTTTAGATAATTTTACAATAATTTAATAATAATAAACAATATTTTTTTTCGTTGGATTCAGAATGATTTTTGCGAAATTATTGCATACTTATATTGCACAGTTATATTTTGAACAAAACAGGAAAGCAGTATTATGACCAGACCATCGCCACGATAACCTGTGACCTTGCTGAAGGACAAGTGGCACTGACCTGGTGTGAGAGAGGTCGTGGGAGTGATGCGAGGATGTGTCATTGGGTGCTGAGATGGTGCTGGAGGAAGTGCGTTTTCTCACCACACCTACGATCCTCGGCGCTGATAAACCTCTGCAACATAACATTACTCAACATTCCTGTGAGATGACCTATTTGTTTACTGCGTCGGTGTGATGTCATGTCTTCACTGGTTATAAAAAAAAATTGCTTTAAATATCCAGTTTTTGTATCAGCCGCCCTTGTAACCTGTTTCATTGTTCTGCAATTCTCAATAAAAAGAATTCTTGTATCCTGTCACCACTACTTGTTTCTCATTTTAAAATTCTCTCCTTTTGTTCTGCAGAATTTTAATAAACCGTCTAGTTTTTAACCATATATTGTGCTCATTATATCTGCCAATGTACACGTGTTTATTTAGCAATCAGATTTTCTTCATATCTCGTATTATATAGATTTGAGAGCCATTGTTTAGTTACTTTACACATATTTAATAACATACACTAGCACCATAATACTAATGTAAAGTCAAAAATTTACCTAATATATATTGGAAAAATTTTGCGCAATTCCCTATCCATATATCTGAAGCCTAATTTAAAATTTGAGAACTGAAGCATAAGTGTTAATATTTCGTGTGTATATAATATGCATTAAACCTTAATGGGTTCTTTACAGCTCATTGACTAAGGAAATCTGATTTTAACTGCTTTCTGATAATGTAAACAATCTTATTGAAAGAAATGTAATCATGTGAAAAAATAAGTACTTGCTTTGTTATGACAGTTGTATTAAAGTTTAATTGACACGAATATCTATCGATAAGTGCCTTTGATAACTAGTAACTACCACATACACGCACACATACGTGTGTGTGTGTGTGTGTGTGTGTTGTGTGTGTGTGTGTGTGTGTGTGTGTGTGTGTGTGTGTGTGTGTGTTGTACATTGTTGCGCACATAGTTAAACTGCTAAAAAACCTTGGAAAACAAAACATTCCACGTTAGCATAATACTTACGTTCTGGTTCCATCTTGCGGTGTTAGTCCGGATGTGTCTGAGGCTTTGGCACCGGGCGCTGCTACGGAGACGACATTGAGACCACTCCTGGAGACCTGAAGGCCACTGCTGGAGACCTGGAGACCACTTGGTGTGCACCTTGTGGTCTTCTGCAGCACAGAATCCTGATGGCGAGGCCGCTGGCGAGGACCAAAGAATATGACTGTGGTGCCCACAGCCCTAATCTTGGCCATCACTGTGGGATCGATCCACTGTGGGAAGAAATAGAATTGGGTAAGTTCTGCGGTATGGCCATCTCACTTGCAGGTGCAAACATTTAAAAGTAACCTGGTCTTACTCCGTTTACGCTATTCTAGAAGTCAATTTCTGAATGTTCCAGAAAGTGCGGTGTTTGCGCAGGCTTCAGTAACGTTCAGAAAGATTACACGAGGTATGATGATTTTGAAAGTAAGATGAGAGACCTAAACACACGGGCGGTACAAGGTGTTTCAGCGCAGGCGCAAGCGCTCCTACACTCAGGAGTACATCAAACAGCAGTTATCCTTCCCTAAAATTTACGCACAGGTATCACTTGTTAGATTAGTAAAAAAAATTCATAATAAAATTTCTTGGTCACGAGCATGGTGATACCTTCTGTTGATACACATTTCATCTGAAGATTCAAGAGTCCAACAAGAAAAATATTTCTGTCCCAAAACTTGTAAAAAAAAAAAAAAACATCTGTGGTGCGGCATTGCTACACATGTCTGTCAGCTGATACTTGAGGATAAATTTAATTTCAGAATACTTGACTGACTCAAGAGGAAACAGCAGTTTTTATCCTGTGAAGCCACTAGTTTTACTGGTAACGCTTTGACTACTAACTCCAGTATTCCATTATGCATTCAACAGTTACAAAAAGCTTCAAAGGTTTCATTCCAGCAGCAGCAGCGGTAGTGCTGATGGAGTTACTTTTAAATGGGAATTGCCTTCTCTCAGGATAGCCTATCCTTACAAAGAGAGGATTTTTTTATATAAACACTCAAGTCTTCTCTAGGCCTTCAATTGCTACGGTTAATATCAGGCAGACGTTGAACCTGGATGATGGTCAACTGTGAAGCAACAACCTCCTTTCCCAAATTGTATTTATATCTGTTGCCCACTCACGTCACTCTTCCTGGGTGAGAAAAACTGCAGATTTATCTGTATTGAGCCAGCCATCACAGCCTGGCTGATACGACAAGTTTTACAGGTAGTTTTGTCCAATTTTATACTGAAAATGTCTCTTGACAATAAATAAATATACAGTTTATAGAGAGCAGTTGCAAGGACCAGGCTTTGTAATGAGTTAAGATAAGAGCTTTTGTCTTGTAAAATATGTGGCAGGGCTCTAGCCCTTAATCCTGCATGTGGAGGTGGTGGTGGGACGTACGAGTGTGTGTGTGTGGGGGGGGGGGACGTACGAATGTGGAAGTGTGGGTGAGATTGTGTTCGCTTGTCGTTTGTGGGGGAATTGGGTGGTGTGTGGTGGTTGTAGGGGTGTCGGGTACGCTTCTAATGGTAATGGGAAATGTGTAAGGGAATGGCAAATGTAACGAGTGGGGGATGTGGCAGGGAAGAGTGGGGAGATAGCTGTGACAGTCGTACAGCGCCTGGAAGATTAGAGGTACTCAGGTTTAATCTAAAGAACTAGAGGGTAACTCTGATTTCTCGCATCAAAAACCCTTCACCAGCCCCAAGGCGCCGCCGTTAAAGCGGCTTGTGTTCTTTAATTACTTATATTTTATATACATCATATTTCACCTTTATATGAAAGGTGACAATTGTTTACACTCATTGTAAACTACTTACAAATCATACACCTGCTCTTGTAATTATACACACTAATCTATAATTTCCAAATTTGTAACATTTCATGCATGACTAAACAGTTTTAATGGGTGGGGAGTGTTGGGGAGAGAAACTTGGTGTCTCTGGGCATCACCCCACTGTCCTGAATCTTCCTGGACAGTGTGGTACTCTGTGTACGAATCTTGTGTATATGCCAGAGTGTGTGGGGCACTCTTGTTGCGTGTCTTGTGTATGCCAGGGACAGTGTGGCACTCTGTACGTGTCTTGTATATACCCAAGATAGTGGCACCCTGTGCGTGTATTGTGTATGCCACGGAGTGTGGCACCCTCGGCGCGTGTCTTGTGTATGCCAGGGACAAAGTAACAGGGGTGATGGTGGTGGCATCTTCTGCAGCAAAACGCTCACAAACATTTCCTTCTGCTTGGTGGAGTTCAGTCACGCAGCTGGCTCCTTCCACTCCTCTGGCTCCCACAACTTTCACTAAAGCCTTTGAGTTTTGCCTTATTGAATTTTCTCTGAAGTCATGGGCTGGCTACCCCCATCCCCTTCCTCCCCGTTCTTTTTTCTTTGCCTCTCTCCAAAATAAATTAAAAGCGCTTATCCCATCTTAGTGTGCTTTCAAAGCCTTGCTGTGGAAACTGAATCATTAAAAGTTGTTTTTATAGTAGTGTCGTTAACTCAATATTGAGAAATATTGAGAGGAGGAGGGTTTTATGGTGGTGTCTGTACACTTCGGGCATGACAGCTACCTTAGGTAGCTTCAAATTTAGATTAGACAAATGAACATGAAAATGGTACACAATATCGACAGGTTGGTAAGAGATATGTGCAACAGTTAGGTATCTGCTCCAGACTATGGAGCAAAACTCTTCTCCAGGCTGAGGAACTGATCACCTCAAAACTACGTCTTCAAGGGTGATGAACTGATTACGTCGTCTTCACATTTCTACTACTTCTGCTAGCTCTTCTGTACTCGACTGAAGAAGCCTACTATGTAGACGACACGTCTTATCTGGCCTAGTATTGGCCAGTAGACCTGCTACAGTGTTCATCCTTTATGTTCTTAATATTGACTGTTTCCTCTATTTTGCGTTACCCTACCTTGGAGAGAGAAGGCCGATATGGTAAAAACAAAATTTGAGATGTACAGCAAGAGAGAGGTGCTTTTGTCAGCTCATGGCTCATGACTACCTTCCAGGTAATACGGAAACAATTATACCCGACACAATTAGAGACTTTTCCCTCACAAGTGAATTTATTTAATTCACGAAGAGGAAAAAGCTCACCTTTGAGTGAATAAACGTTTGATCTTATTTGTCTTGGCTTGTGACATTTTGCCCTTTTAACGACCACCTTCTTGGTGGCGCGGTGGGTCACCTTGAGAACATAAGCTTCGTACATAACGGTGAGATTCTAGACATATTTCGTTGAACTTCTGAAATGACATATTCAGCCAGGACAAGTAGTCTTCAGGAGAGTTCCCGTCAAGGAAAATGTATTGATACTGGTGAAGAACTCTTAAACCCATGTATTACCGGACTCTGACATGGGTGATGGTGGTGGTGTACTGTTACTGGAAAAGGATTCGACTGTAACACCCCTTCCCTTGAAAAGCGAAGATATAGAAATCAGTGGTTTCCTGTAGATTTAGATTCTATACATTGAGCATTTCATAGTTTGGAAAAAGAAACTTACGATGAAGTAAAATCGTAAATAACAGCAACAGGTCAGCAGTGAGAAGACAGTTGTGTGAACATAACGTGACCATATAAGAAGAGGGAGATGACCAACCGGAAAGTTTGAGAGGAAAAGCCTTTGGAAGTAGCGCAAAATTTGCTGAGGAAAACTATTGAGTCAACAGATCTTGTGAGGTCAGGTACATGGATCAGATTATTATTTTTTCCCGCTTGGATTATCAGTTCTCTAGACAAAGATGAATGAGCCTTATACTGAAGTAATTGAAGTGAAACCGAGATTGAAGTGAAAGAGTGAATCTTATTTTTAAGGTATATTAGTCAGCTGCAGAAACTCAAGGTTTCCCGAGACAAATCAGACGAGATTGAATTGTCTTAAGATATTTTTAAATCGCTGAGGCGCTCGCGATAACATTTTTTTTGAAGATTTTTTTTTTTTATCGCGGCGTTGAAGAGGAGCTGCCATGACGGATAAGAAGGTAAACTGGCGAGCGTCCAGGTAGCTGCTGGAGTCTTAGCTGAGCATTAACTCGCACACAGTGCTACTCGCTACACCTACGACGCTACCTGCTACACCAGCATCGGGTGTACATCTGTCTCCCATACCCACCTGTTCGCAGGTGCTCCCATTTCCCTCTTTATAGCTTGTTACGTGCCACTGATTGTGCATTATATTTCAACATTTGCCCCTCGGCTTAGGCCTTTCTGCCTTCATGATTTTTATAGTTACTGAGGTACCTGTGGGGACCTCGGAGAACTCTTAGGGGTTTCTTGACATTAATAATAAATGGGATTTGTGTGCTGATAATTTTAACTTGGTATGATAGTATTTGTTGAGTGTTTATATTCGCTGATTTAACTTATTTCATAACCTTTTTTTTATTGTATATATATTTTTATGGCTTTGAGTACTGAGTGAGACCTACGTGATCAGTGCTTTGTAAATGTTACTGCTACTACATGCTACACCAGCCATGCTATTTGCATCTCTTGCTCTGATCTCTTACTGTTGGTGGAGGACACGTGATCCAGTGAATTAAAGCTGCTCTCTTCCCTAGGTCAAAACTGTTTATTTCCCATTCACCAGGCGCTGTGCATCTCTTCAGAGTTTAGCACTTCTTCATAAATATACTTCAAAATCATCTGAACTGACAGTTTCTCCTACAAGGTAACTTGACTGCTACTGATACTTATTCCATAGGTAATAAATAAAAATATTTGTTGGTCTAAACACCTGTAGGTCATTCAACGTAAGGTTTATTGTCTTTTCAAAGTATATATTTCTTTCAAAGTTGGGCAAGTAAAACCAAGGATGTTAGTGAAATCATTTGAGTGAGCTGCGCATCATAAGAAAAAAAACTGTCATCTCGCGCCCAAGTTTCTTACAGAATCAACAAATTCTCTCCCCAAGTCTGGTGCATAATCTCTCAACTCCTCTCAAAGTTGTTTATAAAATCAACCATGGGAAAACAAAATGTTCAAAGAGTGGTGACCTTTTGTCGCCTCTCAGGACCTTATTGTTACTCCGTGTGACCTTCACTCACTGTAACACTACTTGTCACTCCGTGTGACCTTCACTCACTGTAACACTACTTGTCACTCCCTGTGTGACCTTCACTCACTGTAACACTACTTGTCACTCCGTGTGACCTTCACTCACTGTAACACTACTTGTCACTCCCTGTGACCTTCACTCACTGTAACACTACTTGTCACTCCGTGTGACCTTCACTCACTGTAACACTACT